CAGGGGAGGACGGCTTGACTATGCCTGCGTTTTAAACTCTCAGGGGATTATGGGGGAGGCTCGGGTTGTTCGGGAACTACTTAGTGACCACTTTGCCTTGAACGTTGAATTACCACTGGGGAAAAAACAAGTCCACTTTCAAAGGAAAAGGCTAAATATTAATAAAGATATGAAAAATTACTTTATTCAAAATATGGGAGATTGGTATCAACATTACACGCCGCTCTGCGTTGATAGTTTTTACGAGGACATGGTCGAGAACATAGAGAAATTAGTACAGAGGGAAAATAACGGGGGCAGGGGAAGCAAGACGCACGGACCTAAGAAATTTAAATATTCCAATGATCAGCAAGTCAAGGGATGGGAGAGAATGCTACGGAGTGCGCATAAAGCATGGTTAAAAATGGAATGAGGGATGAAGAGAAAAATACAATGTTGGAAGTGGCTAGGGAATGCAGTCAGGTGAGGAAGGAGGCGCGGGACAGATACTGGCAAGAATTTGCTCAGTCCATTGGTAATACTAAGAACCTTAAAGACATATGGAGAGCAGTAAATAAAGTCAGGGGTTGTAAGACCAAATTCATTGCTCACTCAGATCCAGGGAAAGTTGCTAATGAGTTAGTAGATAAATGGGCTAGTGCTGCTGGTATGGAGTCCTTACCTGCAGACACGAGAGTCACCATTGAGTCATGGGAAAATATTAGAAATGGAGTAACTTTATGTGCCTTAAATACAAGATCTATAACATGCACTGAGATAACCCACGATGAGCTACTGGATGCTATAAAAAGTGGCAGTTCCACTGCTCCGGGAAAAGATGGAGTAACGTATGACATACTTAATTATTTAGCCGGTATGAAACCTAGTCCCTTACTTGATTTGTTTAATATGAGTTATAGAGAGGGAAAGTTACCAAGAAAATGGAAAGAGGCTGTCATCATTCCTATCCCTAAGTCAAACGGAGGCTACAGACCTGTCTCCTTAATATCCTGCTTTTGTAAAATGATGGAAAGGATTTTGTTAAATAGGCTACTCTACCTTGTAGGTGATAACATGTCCAGTAATCTCTTTGGTTTTATCAAAGGCAAAAGTACTGCGGATTGTCTCTTAAAGTGCTTGTCTAATGTGGATGACAATTGTAGAGTTTTTGTTGATCTACAAGGAGCGTTTGATAAAGCCAATGGGGAAGTAATCTTATACGAATTAGCCAATCTGGGAATAACAGGGAGATTGCTACACTGGATAAGGGATTATCTACAAGGCAGAAAAGGTCAGGTGTATTACCAGGGATACATGTCTGAGGAACGGAGGTTTCAGTTAGGTACCCCACAAGGGGGAGTATTAAGTCCCACCTTATTCAATGTATTAATGAACAGATTAGCATCAGAGATGTATCCTTCAGGGGTCACGACGATCATATATGCTGATGACATTCTTATACAAGGCACTTCTGGGAACAAAATTCAAGATGCTCTTAACATACTTGGTACAACCTGTCACAAGTTAGGCTTAGTTATAAATGCAGATAAAACCAAATACGAGTATAGGAAACGAAGAAATATAACACTTACTCTAAATGGTGTGGAACTGAGCCGTGTACAGAAGTACAAGTATCTGGGCATGTATGTTGGATACACATGTGAGAGTAAAAATGCTGAAATAAATCATATCAGCACCTTATGTAAAGCCCGTCTGCATCCTCTGAAAGCACTGGCTTTTTCTGGTAAAGGTGTTGGGGTACCTATCTTGCGGATGTTATACATAAGTACTGTTCGGTCCCTGATAGACTACGCAGCACCCGTATTGTCTTACACAGGCCAAGGCAGAATTCAAAAAATAGAGCTGATACAGAACGAGGCTATGAGGATTATTCTTGGATGTCAAAGAAATGCAATGATTGAAATAATGAGAATGGAATTAAATTTACAGAGTGTGTGTGATAGAGTCCGTGACATTAACACTAGAGTATCTATTCGTTTCATGCGGAGAAAAGGAGGGGATAAGCTGTTTGAGAGCGTTCAGACCTGCTTGAGTGACGTACACACTTCCAGGAAACTGAGGGAGACACGCTATACGAGAGGATTAGCTCATGACCTCAGGGAATACGACGTACTTGACTGCTGTAAACCCTCTCGACAGTGTAATATGTCTGCTCCCTGGAAAGTACAGAAAATAGACGTCGAAATTGTACCCCTCAAGGTGAAAAAGATTCATCATGAACCGGGACAATTACGGTGTTTGTATGGAAGCATGATATCTCGGTTACCAAGAGGCAACAGTTTACATGTATATTGCGACGGGTCGGTGGCGGAAGATGGCAGGGCAGGGTGTGGTGTCCTAATAAGGGATTATACGGAGTTTGGGACTGTGGACAGGATAATTGAACTCCGGCTTAGTAATGATATATCATCCACACAAGCTGAACTGCAGGCCATTCTGGCGTGTTTGGAGGAAGTACGTCATGACGACAAAAATGTTTTTGTATTTGTCGATAGCCGAGGAGCACTGGAGTCCTTAAACAGTCGAAACCCAGTCTTCATGTTTATAGTGGAGGACTGTAAGAGAAGAATAACTGAGATACAGCTGAAAGGTTATAGTGTGAAATTCATGTGGATTCCATCTCATGTTGGAATAGTGCTCAACGAGGTGGCGGATGACTTGGCCAAACGTGCCACATCAAAACCACAAGTTGACATTGAATGTGAATTCACAATGAGACAAATAAGAAGCAAAATCGGAAATATTCAGGCACAGGCGGGAGTGGAGAGGAGAGAGATAATGTATGAGAGAAGTCAAACCATGCAACACCACATGTATGTGAGTCAAAACACCCATTTCACTTATGGTAAAAGGAGAAATGCTTGGAGTGACTCTGTGTACATGCGGCTCAGGCTTGGGTACAAATATTACTGGGAATATGGGATCGATGTTCATGATAATGACACGAAGTGTAAACTATGTGGTATGTTAAGGTCTCACACCCTTGCCCATTATATTCTTGATTGTCCGTTGATTAATGTATATAGAAACACTGAGATAAGGAATGTTCCTGAACAAATAGCCTGGATGTGTCACAACGGAAAGGTTGATGACATTCTTGAGAGATATAAAAATTTTGCACCAAGACTGTAATCTTTTGTTGAATGTCTCTTGCAAATTGTCTATACAGTATACCTAGGTCATAAAAGTATGTGTGTACGTCTGGTACCATACTACTTGTGTAAAGGTGGAAATGTAGATGTTTATCTCTCAGAATGTTTGGTAATATGTTTATTGTTTGTGATGTGTTTATTTGTATATATTAACACGTTGTACTGAATGGGGTGAGAATAGCTTGAGCTACCTCATCCCTTTGTGTGTATTTTACCTCAATAAACTTATTTCAATTTCAATTTCAATTTCAATTATGTGCCTCTGTAATTCTTTACACCACCGCCCACGGGATGGGTATGGGGTGCATAATAAAGAAAGAAATTGAATTGTCATGCTCTTCCTTACTTTCTTCTACGCACGTTTACTTTTTTTTTATTTAAAATATCATAAAATATAAAATATTTTAAACTTCATATTTCCAGATCATGTTATTTATAATTTTCCAAGCTTGGACATGACATTATTGTGTATTCCATTTAAAATATAATAAATAATTCACAATATAATATATTCAGTAAATAAATTATTATAAAATAATTTTAATTTTTCATGAAATTATATAATAGAAAGCAGTAGAATATAAATTGTAAACAAATTGTTTGAGTGGCACCTCTGTCTCTAAGCAGCCGTAGTTCAGAGTGCAGCCCGGATACGTCCTAACGGCGACCCCATTTTTCTAATGCAAAATGTATGAGGCTGATCGACTATATTTTCGTATAATTATTGGGGCTCAATTATCGTAATTTTGTTTATCGCTTCGGCTACATGAGGATATATTTAGTAAATGTATATATTGTTTTTGACCTATGTGTATTAGCAACATGTAACAACAGCAATATTGATTATATGTTCTTAATCGATGTCGGGTACCATTGTGTATACATATATGTTCTTTAGGCTTGAATCGAGATGCCCCGAGGTTGCCTCCAGGTGCCCCGAGGTTGCCTCGAGGTGCCCCGAGGTTGCCTCCAGGTGCCCCGAGGTTGCCTCGAGGTGCCCCGAGGTTGCCTCCAGGTGCCCCGAGGTTACCTTACCTTGAGGTTACCTCCGGGGCTTAGCGTCCCCGCGGCCGGTCGTCGACCAGGCCTCCTGGTTGCTGGACTGGTCAACCAGGCTGTTGGACGCGGCTGCTCGCAGCCTGACGTGTGAGTCACAGCCTGGTTGATCAGGTATCCTTTGGAGGTGCTTATCCAGTTCTCTCTTGAACACTGTGAGGGGTCGGCCAGTTATGTTCCTTATGTGTAGTTAAAGCGTGTTGAACAGTCTCGGGCCTCTGATGTTGATAGAGTTCTCTCTCAGAGTACCTGTTGCACCTCCGCTTTTCAACGGGGGTATTCTGCACATCCTGCCATGCCTCCTGGTCTCATGTGGTGTTATTTCTGTGTGCAGGTTTGGGACCAGCCCCTCTAATATTTTCCACGTGTAAATTATTATGTATCTCTCCCGCCTGCGCTCAAGGGAGTACAGATTTAGGCTCTTTAGTCGGTCCCAATAGTTTAAATGTTTTACTGAGTGGATTCTAGCAGTAAAGGATCTCTGCACACTCTCCAGGTCAGCAATTTCTTCAGCTTTGAAAGGGGCTGTCATTGTGCAGCAGTACTCCACTCTAGAGAGCACAAGCGTTTTGAAAAGTGTCATCATCGGTATAGCATCTCTAGTGTGAAAAGTTATCGTTATCCAACCTGTCATTTTTCTTGCAGTTGTGACGGCTACTTTATTGTGTTCTTTAAAGGTAAGGTCTTCCGACATGAGTACACCCAGATCCTTTACATTGCCTTTTCGTTCTATGTTATGATTTGCCTGTGTTTTGTACGTGATTTCCGTTTTTATATTTTCATATAAAGCACCTGGAGGTTGCCTCCAGGTGCCCCGAGGTTGCCTCCAGGTGCCCCGAGGTTGCCTCCAGGTGCCCCGAGGTTGTCTCCAGGTGCCCCGAGGTTGCCTCCAGGTGCCCCGAGGTTGCCTCCAGGTGCCCCGAGGTTGAACAAGTGACCTCCTCCAGGATGCAACCCCATAACAGTTGCCAGCTCCCGGGGTACCTATTTAAATGCTGCTATTTTCTGTTATACTTATAAGGTGCAGGGAAAACTGTTGTTGGTCGTTTATCACTAAGGTAATCATGGTTATGTTACTAGTAAATGGTTACCTTACTGGTACATCATGATAAGATGTACATAGAAACATTAACAATTTGTTTGTTATGCAAACCCCAGCTTGGGAATCTCCGCCAGCAGACTTCAAGATTATGGTTATTGAAGGAAAAAAGTACCAGACAAATCCTCCTCTGCTACGTAACATTACACAGATGCATATAGAAGCAAACTTGGCATCCGACAGCTTCACTTACTTCACAGATGGATCAGTAGACCAGCAGGGACAAGAAACCAGAGCTGCAGTTAAAGCAGGAAACTCTGTAAATAGTTGGAGGCTCTCAAATGGGTGTTCGACTTTACAAACAGAGATGCCAGCCATTCAAAAGGCTTTGGAACATGCTCTTGCTGAACACCGACAACATGTTATCATACATACAGATTTGAGAACCGCCATTGAAACCTTGCAACAAGAACACATGTGATAACATACATCTGATCACAAATGTCGTATCATTAATGCTAACACTCAAACGACAAGGCCGACGGGTACTTATCAACTGGGTGCCAAGTCATGTGGGAATAATAGGAAATGACATTGCAGACGAAGCTGCAATACTTGCAACTAAGAGAAGAAATGTAGACATTTACATACCACAGAGTCTATCACAGTTTAAGAAAGTAATTAGAAACAGAGCAATGCAAAAGATGTACAGTGACCACAACACAGTAGTTGCAACATCAGGATCTGCGGGTTGGTACAAGAATTCAACCAACTACGAACCACTTAGTTTGATGAAAGGGAGCAGTAGAGCAACAGAAGTACACTTACATCGCATCAGGCTTGGATACCCAAGTGCATGGGAAATAGGCTTACAGGTTCCGGAAGATGAGAGGAAATGTCAGCACTGTGGAGAAATGCCCGACAGACCACTGGAACATTATCTAACACAGTGCACAGTTACAAACCCATTAAGATTTCAACTTAGATTCAACAGAGCAGAAGAAGTTGTTAAACACATATGGCAAAATCTTACTGAAGCGATCTTACGAGTCATAAATACTCATACTCCGCCCAAGTAAAACAGAAACAAGCAACACTTAATGGGCCAGCCAGAGGCTTAGGGCCCGCGCAGGAATATCCCTGCAAAAAAAAAATAACAATTATGTCAAATAAGCAATATACCTATAGTAATTATTATAAAACTGAACTACAATATGCAGACGTCTGATTAAGACCTTTAATTAATGTGCCTTTTGTTAGTCTTTTTGCACTAGACCTCACAGAATGAGTATGAGATGAAATAATTATAAAAAAGTTGTATGCAATAACAAAAGAAATGATAGAATAGTAAGTTTTTAATTAATAATACTGACAAGCTGTATAATTATGTGTTTGAGGTAGTTTTGCGTGGCAAATCTCCACCCACATTTTATCCGTCGTCCATTATGACAACACAGTTCAGCCGGCAACTTTTGAGTTAATATTAACAAATGAGTTAGTATTTTGTATAGGTTTATAGTTTAGTGTGGGAGATTGAAGGATTATGTGTCCGCCGGCAGATGAGGCGCGGCGAGGCCGAGGGTCCGCTGTTAGGGAGAGGTCGCTCTCTAGCCGTTGCCGCCTCTGGCTCATTCAAAGAGTCGCGGGAGAGACGAGGGAGTAGACGCTCTTCACACGCCACTCCAGGGTAACCCTTCTGCTGAGTTATTGTTGCACGGGATAACGTGGGGCCCTGTGCGGATTTGAGTGCCTTACCGTACGTAACAATAGCTGCAGTAGTTTACGGAGACTAAGTAACTTTGGTAAGTTTTGGTGGGTACCTTTGTTATGGCCTCCATACCCGTCCTGTGGCAAGGTTCGGGAACTGGACCTCACTGTTCCTTCAACTAGGCAGTTAGAAAGTATTACTCGAGTTGAACGTGTATATTGGCAGTGTTACTTAGGTTGTAGTTTCTTGAAAGCTCTAGATCTGCTGTGGAATATGACAAGTTAGTCACACTAAGAGTTCAGGAAGGACCCCCGAAGTTGATTTCAGCCAAGTAATTTGCTTCTTTGCCGAGCTGTGTGCACCTAACTTTGACATTAACTTGACTCATGCTCTGGACTGGTGTTAGGGCTATAGTCCCACAGTGGACTCTGGCACCAAAGCTGCGTGTTTAGCATTAGGTCCCGGTAGTGCAGTCCGGTTTGTCCTCGACTCTCAATCTAGAATTCTGGGTTCGAATTCCGGGCGGGACAGAAATGGGCGTATTTCTAATGGCACTGTTTACTTAGAAGTAAGTAGGTACTCAGGAGTTAGCTTGTTGTGGTGTTGCATCCTGGTCAGGGTCAGTAATTCGAACTGGGGGGGTGGGGGTGGACCTCGATATAAGCCTAGCTTGGATGAATACCCGAAATGCTATGCGTACTAGTGGCTTTATGTATTGTATGTACTACCTCTATCTTTAAATCTAACAGAATGTTTGTACTGTAACTCTGCAACTATGTATGTACTGTTCCTAAATAAATTATTATTATTATTATTATAATAATAATACTCTGGCTGCCTGTCCTCCGGCACAATTAATTATTGTAATTAACGTGAGTTATGCCGGTAACGGCTGAATTTCAGTACATAACTAGATGTGGCTATGAAGCAAATAATTTACCACAAAATTAGTTGAATTTCATAGTGGGATTCGTTAAATTTTATAGGAGTCCTAAATTTATCTATACATGGTGAGCCTACTGGTATGATGCTTTCTCATAAATACCTTAACTGTACAAGGTTAGGAACTTGCCTTTATTGGTTTGTGACATGACTGACCCTGTCTCTCTCGTTACTGTTAGCATCCCCAAATATGAGCTTATTTTTCAACTGCTGCCATAATCTTGATCTTGAGGTTATCTTGAGATGATTTCGGGGCTTTAGTGTCCCCGCGGCCCGGTCCTCGACCAGGCCTCCACCCCCAGGAAGCAGCCCGTGACAGCTGACTAACACCCAGGTACCTATTTTACTGCTAGGTAACAGGGGCATAGGGTGAAAGAAACTCTGCCCATTGTTTCTCGCCGGCGCCCGGGATCGACCCCGGGACCACAGGATCACGAGTCCAGCGTGCTGTCCGCTCGGCCGACCGGCTCGACCGGTAAAGCCACTCGGTAATGTACCCGAGTCTGAGGGCCACCATCCATCTAATGGGAATAATGGAAACGGGAAGCTGGTGGCTTGTTATATGCACCCCCCCCACCCCCACATTTTCTGATAATTTTTTCCAACTGAATTTTTAACTGCAATATAATGCCTTGGCAGTTAGTTTTAGCGGGTAGGCAGTTCCATGGGTGGCCTGTGGGTGAAAAATCATCTCCCATTGTCTGTCCTGCATTGTGGCTTGTTGAGCTTGAAGCTGTTTCCCCGTGTATGTGATATGTGATCTTTTAAACAAGTGGTCTGGATCTTCCATTTTATTTATTTTAAATTTGTGTAAAATCTGCCGTGTCATGTCTGGTTTGTAGTGTTAGTCCTGTAGCTCTCAATCTTTCCTGGTATGAGTTGACTTGGAATGATTTTAGCACTGCATTATACAATACTTTCTCTCAAGAAAGGTATATTGTCTTGAAGATGAGGGCTCTGCTTGGATACACTAATCCAAATAGGGGGGGCACAAGATTTGTATTTGAAGAACCACATTATTTTTCTATGTCAAAGTCTCATTTAATTAATGTTAGTTTTTTATATATGCAGGTTGCAACATAATCTGTTGCCTTCACTGAAATACTCCCACTTATCAGATTACTGTATTTGAATTTTGAGCCAGTGTAGCTCAATTTTTAGCTACATTGGACAGACAGATGCCCAATTTTTTTTTCTTTATATATATAAATAATATATACAACAGTTCTTATATTTTTATACAGCCACTAGCATGCATAGTGTTTCAGGCAAGTCTTAATCCTATGTTCCCCGGAATATGACCCGCCAAATCATTTAACAATCGGGTACCCATTTTACTGAAGGGTAAACAGAGGCAACAGTTAAGGATTGGCACCCTTTAGTTAATTTGTCATTGTTGATTATAGTAAAGTTCTCTTGTGCATTATGCATCCTGCTCTTGATTTGACCCTTAGTGCCAGTAGCCCACCAACTTATTAATGAATGTCACTGGGAACAGTCATATTTTTTCCTATGGCTCGAATATGTGACCATGAGTATTTTTGTGCTGTTTTATAAAGTGCTGCAGTATATACTGTAGTGGTGTATTGGAACCATCAACTGGGCATTATTTGGATAAAGAGACAAGTTTGCTGTGCTACTTTGGTACAGGATAAATTAATTGCTTTATTTCTAATTATTCTTGAACAGTTGTATATTTAACAGAAGTAGTACTAAATGGTCTGATGAACTTGTGGCTCATGGCCACATACTTGACTCATATTTCACAATGATAAACTTTCTAGAATGATAGTGAACAATTCTTTAGAAATTGTAGAAAATTAAATGGTAGAAATAGGAAGATACAATTTTTTTCTTGGCTCATTTGGTCCTGCTAGGCTGATTTTGCCTTCTCATGTGGCAGTGCTTTTGTATGGATACTTTTAAACTTTAAATATTAATATTCCAAGGACTTGTCTATTCCTTGACAAACATTTCTTGCCAGTGATAGAAATGTTCTTTACTCTTTAATGTCATTCAAAATAGGAACAGCTTCACTGCACTAAAATCTTGCAAGTGTCTCACAGATGTTTATAAAAGACACTTTAAATAAACTATGGCATAATAAACTATTATTTCAGTAGCTGGTAAAACCCTGGAAACAATTTGAGATCAAATAATACTGTACTACACATTTAATTTAAAAAAAAAAATTGAGTAAATATTACTGTACCGATGATCATTATTTCCCGAGGCTTTTTTATTCAATATGTACAGTATTGTATTTATATTTATGTAATATATTTTGTATTTTTAATGTGTACTGAAAGTAGGTAAGACTTAATATTTAATAGACATAACGTTGTACCTTTTTAATTATTCCCCAGATTCTATATCTTGCTTTAACAGTTCAAGTTCTTTTTACATTATTACTACTACTACAAAATTTTAATATTTTCAGAGTGCGCTGTTCACACAATGGGGGTCGAGTGCGAGCAGAACCTCGACCGTTTCAGAGGTCTGTTGAAGCAAGAGACACTCACACTCTCAGATTATTGTTTGAAGTGGAAGAATATACTGAAGTCAACCACAGATATTCCTGAAGCTATTGAGGGGGATGTCATGGTTGCTGTTGGTATGTATATCTTTTTTTTTTTTTTTTGGTAAAGGCAAGTACTGTACAGTATATAGGTTGGTAAACACTGCTTGTGAAATCTTGTGCAACAATCAAATTAAAAATCAATAGTATAATGTTTTGTGGTTTACAAATACTTGGGCTTGATACGTATGTAGTTCTATGAGGGAAGCACAATACAGTAATATCTCAATTTTTGGGGGCTCAGTATGTGCTCAGTTGCTCTGTCTTTTTTGTAATGCCAAATTTTCTTTTATTCATGTAATTAAAATAATGTATACAGTATAAAGAAGCTAGTTAAAAATACAAATTAAATACTACAAAAAACAAAAGTGCCTCTTAAAATATATACTGTACTGGCAATGAATAGGAAAATGAGATGAAAGTGAAATAACAAGAGGATGTTAGACAGAAAGCTAGAAAAGAATCAAAGTGTAAAATGCAAGGGGACCTAGAAAATGACACTATTATGGTGCAAGTAAAAATGCCAGATAGGCAGAGGAGCCAGAACCACAGAAAAATATGCAACATTTGTGCATATTTTGAAACTGCATTCACAGCAGAATGGGGGGGGTGAGGATGAGCACACTACCCCTACTCTGCCTTCCCCCCCCCCCCCACCATTTCCTCCCCCACCATTTCCTCCATATAGCTTGGACCAAGTGTAACTTCTGCCCCAGGGATATAGTGTTACCCATTTGTGTGTAGTATGTTCATGAATACAAATTGAATTAGACAAGGAGGTAGATCTACAAAAATGGCAGAACTATAACCACGTATAACATTAATGATTATAATAGGAAACTTGTATGGATACTGATATTTAGAAAAGTGATTGAACTTTTCTAATGAGATGGATTAGGGTTAGCTATATTGCTAAAGCTACCAATGGCATTTTGAGGTACAATACAGGCCGTTCCAACTTATAATGGCTTTCATAAGTCATCTGTTTATAACTAGGAACCAGATTTCCCCTATGAACAATGTTTTTGTGTTGATTTAGGGGCGACGACAATCGTGGGATCGGATGCGCCCCGGCTGCCCGATACCGGGAAATAGCAGAGGGATGAGGTCCCTATAGTCTCTTCAGGCCATAGACCCTGCAATCTCCTCAGGCCACATATTTTACTCTTTAGGCCACGGACATGACAGTTGAAGCGGAAGGTGTGGCGAAGGATGTCATGATGGACATCTTCGTCTCTCGCACCTGCCCCGTCAAGGAGAACGGGAACTGTGAGGCGAGGAATATTCAGCCTACAAACAGCACTCTGTAGTCTGATGCGAGCACTATGAAATCGAGGGCAGTGAAGGTGTTCCACTGTATCCTCCTGGGTCGGACACCACTGGTCACAATAAACGGTGGTGCACTGGCGATAAAATCTCTGTCTGTATGGACTGTTTTGCCGCAATTTGCACAGCGTGCTGCATTACGGTAGGTGAGGCGACTGTGGCCCAATAGATAAGCTTCCCTGTGTAACATCGTAACACAGGGAAGTTGTAGGGCTGAACCTGATACGAAGTCCTGTGTAGTGCCACCCAGTCAGGGAGGGGCCCATTGAACTTTACACGGACCATGGATGTCGGCCCTGCTGCTCCGCGAATCCTTGTAACTTATAATAATCCCGCTGATGCACCCCCTAACACCTGCAGAGCAGCCTGGATGTCATCCACATCAACATCAACACTGGTCATTTGGGGCAATCTTCCCATACCGGGCCCAAGACTCCTCCTGTGACAATACCTGTCGGCACCTGACAGGCCAGTCCCCCAGCTTAATAATGTCGGATACACGGAGCCTCCTTTCTGATGTGTAGCTTCAGTGCTGCACCCCTACCCAGGGTATGTATGGTCTCAGGCAGGCAATGTGGCCACAATACCAAAGCCTCAATTGCTGCACCTAAGGTACGAGGATTTGCAAACACGCACTGACCTGATTCTGACTGGATTAGGACAACCACAAAAGAGGTATGGGGTACCACAAGACTGAGGTCTTCTGAAGGCGAAGACATTCTCTTAGCATCTCGCTCTGGGGCAGCATCAGCCGACTCAATTTCAAGCAGACGTTTTCCTCTCTGGGACTTGTCAACATCCATGGCGCCCCTGCTCGGGGAGGTGTCCATTAGGGAGGCTCCGGCCTCCCCTGGTGCCACGGGCCCCTTGGGTAGCTGCAATGAGCACACACTGGCCCAAAGAAGCCAGCTGAATTCAAAGATGAGCTCCAGGTAAGGTGTGGAAACAAAGTCCTGCCAGGAGCATTCAATCCGGGTGCCACGATGGCCGACCTTCGGTCGGGAATCAATAAACTTATTACACCATACAATACACCATGTTTTGTCATATGAACAATGGTGTACCTGTACTGGTATTATGAATGGGGTGATAAATCTCGGCCACCAAAAATCAACATATCCAAATTTTTGGGACACACACTAACCTTTATTTACCTTAAATGATGGAATTGTTGTTGTCCTTTGATTTGATGCTTTTTGAACAAAAAGTTAAAATAGGATGAGGTAGCAAACGGTGATGGTGATTGGGCACTCGGGCCCAATCACCACTCTTCCTTCCAGGTCATTAGTGAGGAACTTTTCTTCTATAACAACTAAAGTATTGCATTAGTAGCACTATTCATGGTATGTATAGAGGATATGGGGCTAGGATGGGAGCTTTGAGGCTGTAAGATTATTTGTAAGTTGCAAACCTCCATATGTAGTATGACAGCAAGTAGACTAAGAAGGTAAAGGTAATAGTCATTTACAGCCCCTATTGAACACAAGGCCTAGGAAGAAATGATAAATTCAACCGAAACCTGTCTACAGGTAATGGAATGACTAGAAAAGCAACGTTAACAATTCAAGCAGGTAGTGCATGGAAGAGAACAGAACCAGAAAGCTATGGGAAAAGTAGAGAGTCTGGGCATGGAGGCTTAACAGAGAGTTAACAGAAGCACTAGATCATTATTGAGTATAAATAAACAGGAGTAATTAGAGTGGCTACAGTTGTACAAAACCACTAATGGTATCCATTGGTGGCAAATGACACAGTAGAACCAGCATAAAGCAATACAGTAGTGAAGAGGAAGTAGAAGAAGCAAGATAACAGTAGAGCCAGACCAGGGATCACCAGGGCTGCTGAAGGATGCTGCTGGGGTATTTGCCTGCTAAGATTTTCAATTAGTTTATGGAGACTGAAGAGCTTTTGGAAATCTGGAAAACTACAAAAACATTCTGATATTAGAAGTTAGGGGGGACAAGATGAGGCACTAAGCTATGGACCAGGGACCCTGACAAGCATTCCGAGCCACGTACTGGCTTGAGTAATCTGGCAAAAAATAATGGAGCTCGTGTGGCACAATTTAAAAGCAAAAGATTAAAAACAGTCGGTTACAAATACTGAAATCGGGATGTATATTGCTACCCTGTAGTTGCCAACGTTAAGCGTGTACTAACTTGATCAGTAGCTGGTCCTAGGCTGAAATTCCAATATAACATAATGCTTGTAAGGTATAGATAAATAGCGCACAGCTATATTCCTTGGATCTAGCAATATAATGCCTTGTACATATGCCAACAGATTCGGCCTGTTTGTAAATTTTTACGTGGGTTGCAGAACACATTTTATTATTAATAATGATTGCTTTATGTTAAGAATGGTTGTTAAAGTTCTAAGTTTGTACAATTTTGGTAAGGAAGTATAATTTCTACAGGTCAAGCTGAACTCCTGATGAAAGAACGGTTTTCTCAGTTCAATGGTCTGATTGATGATTGTGAATTTAAACGTGGAGAAAAGGAGATCAAATACCTAGACCTTCAAGGGTTTTGGGATATTATTTACTTTGAGGTAAGTTTTGGTAATTTGTGATAAATTGTTTATTAGTTACCGTAGTAAGGATACATTATGGTTTGTTTACTTTTATTCATTAGTTCTGTCTCAAGATCATTGACTTAACCATGACTTTATGATAAAAAAGTGTTTCCTTTATAAACACTTGTGGAATATAAACTTTAAAATAAAAATATCATTGCAATAAACTATTTTTACAACTCTTTCTCTGCATGTTGTCGACACTTTGATCTTTATTTGACCAACTATGGTTCTGTTAAGATTGCCAAGTGTAGCACAGATATATCCCCCTTCCCTGGTGATTTAGTGAAGGTATTTAGATAATTGTATTGACCTGAAACTTATATTTGACCATAAAACTAGGGTTTCCACAGTATCGACATTGGATCATGTAACCCCTTTGATTGCATTTTTAGTCTTCAATTATTATACCAAAGAGCCCATCCCTCTAACAGCCTGGATAACTAGTTAGACTGAAGAGGGTAAGGGAGTACAGTACCTGACTTAGGAAATAGGGTTGCATTCTGAGAAGTCAGACTGGAGGGATATTTGCAGATAACAAAATTAATGAGGAAAGTAGACAGGAAAACTGTAGTGCTGTAGGAAGAACTTGCCAAAACTCCAGTACACAGAAAGAAATTTTGGAAATGGTGAAAGACCAAAATCTATAATACTGGAATCAGAAAGAATGATTTGGGAGTGGACATAAGCTCATAATACTGAATTTTAATTCAGTATTTAGTGTACATTTAGTGTACATTTGACCAGCATTAGAACATGCAGTACTGGCATGGGATATGACCCCAGGATGCCCGCAAAAAATACTTTAGAAATTATGGTGTTTGCTACTAAGCTTAATACCTGATTTAAGGTGGTTACATTGAGGTTAAGAGAACTCAATTTAAACCCTAAAGGATAGTAGTACTGGGGATATTATCACAACGCAAAATTAAAGCAGGTTGCGGGGTACTTGATGCCAGGGCACAAGTGTTCCCAACTGTATAAATATCATGACTACCTTAAGCATAAATAGTAAGGGATTGTATGTATTTTAGTTTACAAATACTAAAATGAACATTGATTTGGTGCTCACTTGATCTATTTCATCTTGATATTTCTAATTAAAAAAAATTGACTTCATGTTTACATCAATAATAAACCTTACGTGAAAAAAAAATTGCAGAAGGCCTATTGGCCCATATGAAGCTGCTCCTATTTATAACCACCCAATGATACTCGTGCTCATGTCCAACCCACGCTTGAAGCAATCAAGGGATCCCACCTCCACGTTATGCAGTAATTGGTTCCACAAATCAACAACCCTGTTACTGAACCAGTATTTACCAAGGTCTTTCCTAAATCTAAACTTATCCAATTTATACCCATTGTTTTGTGTTTTCTTGTGTTGATACTTTTAACACTATCGCGCGCTGTAGAAATGACATCGTGAGCCATTCGGTGCAGGCAAGCGTGCAGCGACACCGAAAAGTGTATACTCATTTCAGTTTTCTCACCTTAATTCTCGTGCTATATCGTTCGTTTTGGTATCATTGTGTTCACAATAGAATTCCCTACAGGGGTACAGTATATGCATATAAGGTCTAAAAGCCCGGCGTGACTCCCCACAAAGCCTAAAGTCGGCCAAGTTACCCGTGAACCAGCACCAATTGGCACACCAGCAGACTAATGTATATACTCGTTCAGTTTGATAACAAATTTTTGTGTTACGTGTTTCATATTGGTATCAAATTGTTCGCAAAATGAAGGTGTGTTTTAAAACTAGTACCATAATAATAGAACAATAAATGGAATTTTAACAAATATTTTAAAATTTGGACGCTCGTCACCACATAATTATTTATATATTTCCAGTGTTCTGACACCAATTTTCATGTTATGTCTTTCATTTTGGTATCAAATTGTTCGAAAGGCGCTAGTCCCATAGTAATAGAACAATAAATGGAATTTTAGCAAATATATTTTTGCTAAAGTGCATACTCATTTCAGTTTTCTCGCCCTAATGCTCGTGCTACATCGTTTGTTTTGGTATCATTGTGTTTGCAATAGAATTCCCTACAGGTGTATATGTATATAATGTCCAAAAGCCCGGTGTGACTCCCCACAGCAAAACCTAAAGTTACCTGTGAACGAGCACCAATTTGCACACACCTGCCTGATGTGTATACTCGTTCAGTTTGATAACATCAATTTTCGTTTTGTGTCTTTAATTTTGGCATCAAATTGTTCACAATATAAAGGCACATATTTTAAAACTAGTCCCATAATAATAGAGCAATAACTGGAATTTTAACAAATAATTCAAGTTTGGATGCTCATCATCACAAAATTATTTATATCTTTCCAGTGTTCTAACATGAATTTTCATGTTACATCTTTCATTTTGGTATCAAATTGTTCGCAATCAAAATGTGCACATTTTAAAACTAGTCCCATAATAATAGCACAATAAATAGAATTCTAATTTTTTTTTAAATTTTGCCAAAAATGTATTTATAATCGTTAAAGTGTTCTGACATCGTTTCATGTTACATCTTTCATTTTGATATCAAATTGTGCACAATTTATAGGTGCTCATTTTGAAACTATCCCAAAGTCGATCGGATAAAAAAGGAATTTTATGTAAATATTTTATTGTTGGACTCAAATAGTGTCAAGAGATAGGACTCTGGAGAAAAATTTAACAAATTTTAACTTTTGGACTCTCTTGGGTGCTCATCACCACAAAATTATTTATATCTTTCCAGTGTTCTGACATCAATTTTTGCATCACGTCTTTCATTTTGGTATCAAATTGTTCACAATATAAAGGCGCGTATTTTAAAACAAGTACATAATAATAGAACAATAAATGGAATTTTAATATTTTAACTTTTGGACACTTTTGGATGCTCATCACCACAAAATTATTTATATCTTTGGGAAACTTTGGGAAGAGACCTTTATTGCTTAGTACAGTCTTTATGAAATGAGGGGTATCCAACATTGGATTCATTAGGGGTAAAAATGTCTTAAGGTTTTTAGCAGATCACATCTCTTTAGAATGTAAGAAAATTGGATACTATTTGATCTAAGCCATCATTAGATACACGCAGAAATGAATGAAAAATTTGTGTATGAGTACATCGTACTTCCTAATGTGATATATTTTTAATTATACTATATATAGAAAATTTATGCATAACAAGTGTGTGCAGTGTACAGCTCGTTTACATTGTTCATTTTAATAACTTTTAGGACAGTATGTGAATGACGTAGCTGTAAACTATATTAAACATTTCGCCTTTCTATTTTTTTTTTTTTTTTTTTTTAATGCAGGTAGAAGATGTCGTTAAGAAGTTTGGTGGGCTTGAGAAGACCAAAAGTAATGGTTGGAAAGAAATAAGATGTTCACCACAAACAAATTTAGCCCCTAAGGTAAGTTTAACAATTTGAAAGTATTAAATTTTTTCTTTGGCTATTATAATGTTAACCCCTGGGCTGCTCTGGGCCTTTCTGCCCTCAACACCGCCACATGCAAAGGGGAAAAAATTCTACATTTTTTTATGGTTTTATAAGTTAATTTGTGTTCCCTGAGTACAAGGAAAAAAAATTTGTTTACCAATGATGTAAATGAGCCGACAAGTTCGCCGATGACGACACGTAACATGATCGTTCGTGTAAGGTGGTTGCACCCCGAGGCGTCGCACTTGGCACTCAAACTGCCAAAGTTGCTACAAATTTATTTTCACAGCATTATTTACAGTATCTATGGCATCTTTACAACCATTTTTTCACTTATAATCTTAACTATATTGTTACTTGATGTTGTATTGTAATACAACTCATAAATTCAATACACACTCGCATATTAGTGTCACAAGTATGTGCACAAAAATATTGTATTTTTCAAGAAATATAAAATGTATTATTTGTTTTCAATATATACTCACACAATATGTACTGTACATGGTTTTTGCACCATTATTGGACATTTAGTTGTCCTGGAGAGTGTGGTGCTTGTTGAAACAGAGGGACTTCACAAGCTTCGCTCCATGTTAACATCATTTTACGTTTGTGTGGTTTTGCACAATACACTCACTTTCCATTTGGTGGTAAATTCCTGATTTTGTGTGTCAGAAAGGCCTCCCTGAGAGTGAGCCTGGGTGTGGGAGCATGGTACAATACTTTTCACAATGAGCCTTTGTATGCCAGGAACTACTTTGCCAAACTTTTCCAGTAATTGTCACTACAATAAAATTGAATGCATGGAAGAAAAACATCTTGGTCCACCTCACTGTTTTCTGTACACACTTAACTGTCCCTACCATCATGTCACACTTATCCACCTAACGCATGTTTGTTGTAGTCCAAAACACAATCTGGCTTGTATATTATTTGTCTGGTAGTTCAGTTCACCTTGCTGCTGTCCACCATTGTACCACTATATGTGGGTATGTGGCCCTGCGGGCTGCTCCAAGCAACAGCCTGGTGGACCAAACTCTCATAAGTCGAGCCTGGCCTCGGGCCGGGCTTGGGGGTAGAACAACTCCCAGAACCCCAATAAAGCAGGTATCAAGCACTGTGAATGGTGGTCAACAAGTTCACTTCACACCTGTCTTTCCACTGCACTGAAAGCATTCCACCAGTTTTTCTTAGCTCACAATCACCTAGCTGCATAGTAGTGTCAAATACTGGCATTTCCCTTCGTTTTGGCTTTACTATGCCCCACACTCCAGTTCTATTGTCAAGCAAGAACCTAGTTATCAAGGGACTGGTATAATAGTTGTGTGTATAATATGTGGCCCTTGTTGAGCCATGGTGCAAGCAGTGTCTTCACCACACTACCTGAAAAACCATGTTGGTTATTAGCAGGAATGTCTACATTGGTAACAGAATACGGAATCATATGTAACCCAATTCTTGTTTGTCACAGAACAAAGAATTTCAATCCAAATCTGTGTCGTTTGGAGGGAATATACTGCTTGAAGGTAACACGTCCTTTGAAAAGCACAAGGGATTCATCAATCTCCAGCTTCTGAGCTGGTACGTAGAAATCTCTGAACTTCCCAACAAGTTAATTCAGAACGTGCCTCATCCTCCAAAGCCTATCATCTAGTCTTCATCACTTGTAAAATGAAGACACCTGAGGAGTATCACTAATCTGTCTAGACATTTATTTGTTGAACAATGGTATTGGAACAGTCTGGTCTGGTATTTGCTTCAATAAGCTATGAGGACGTGTTTGACACAATGTTTCGTCAACAAACACAGTGCAAAAAATACATACATTTCACCTACAGTTGTATCTTTCCAATGCTGCATTCGTCAAAAATCTGATAATTCCTCAGCAATGATATGAGCCGCATATTTGTTTCATGAACAATATGTTTCATGAGCGGCTCGTCAAAATATAAGACGAAATGTGCGAAATGGACTTCTTTGTAACCATTATCAGGGAAAAGGCTTGTAATTCCAACATCTTTAACATCAAAGGCGGGAATTTCTGGAATAAAATCTTCCCCGTCACTCCACAAAAATACACCTGCTGTCTTCCGACCAGCAACAGCAGCAACACAGCGACGAATCTGTGGACCAGGAGCTGAAGCCCATCTATGCACAGGGGTGGGAAGGAAAGATGAGGAGGGGCTTTGTTCATCATTAGCTCCATGCGGTGCCATACAGCGGCGCTTGGGTAGTTGAGATGCTGCCGGCGCAACAAAAGTTTGCTTGGCATCACAACTGGCACTAATGACAGTAGTAAAACTCTTCTCAGATTCTAAATCTATGATTCTAAAATCACTAAAATCAGAAAATGATTCACCTTCCTCAGACTCGTCGAGCAAATCCTCATAATCTGGCAAAGTAACACATGAACTATGTGGTTGGGCACGAAATGGTGTTGTATTGGCGAGGAGGCAAGGGTGAGGGGATAGGCAGCCTGACCCTCATGGCACCCACATGTTAATTCTCACTGTTGGTCATTTCATGATCTGGCTGTGTGTAGTCCTGATCTATGTCTACATCGTCAATATCAGGTTCATCACCCTCCTGGAACAATTCTGATTAATTTCATTGTCAGTCAACGATTGTGTTGCATGCTGCGTTAGGCGCAGTCGGCCACTGGTACACGGTGCGCTCGGCACGGTTGCTGCCAGGTAACTAAGGCCTCCCTACAATGGTGGCCTAGGCTGGGTTTTTTCCAACATGGCATGTGTTTACTATCGGCTGTGACTGTACTATAGTTGCCCCTATCCCTAGCGTAGCATTTAAAATGGGGTGTGAGACCCTCAAATATACTTGTATGTAATGCGCTGTTTTGTGACAGTTCCTCCCACACATGTTTGTTTTGCGCCCTTTAAGGGTTAAACTTGAATACAATATATTTGAAAAATCACTTGACAAGATGAACAAAGAAAAGGATCTTGTAGTTGTATTAAATACAAAGTAATGTCTAGCTACAAGTAGTAAGGTCAACAGAAGGCAGGATTTCTTGGCAGGAAAAGCTTTAGAATAAAAAACTTGGACACCATCTAATTATGGTTTGATCAGATATAACATTTTAATACTGTACAATTTTAATTTCATAATAGCAAGAGAAGCATAAACTTGGGTTAATGTAAATTGGTGACCAAACTAAAGCCATCATTAAAAAAAATTGAGGTAGTTTAAAAAAATTTATGAACCTTTAAGAAATGGCTGCATAGTTACTAATTTGTTTTAATTTGTAACAACTTTCAAGTACTGTATTGCAAAATGTGGCGGTAGTAATGGGTTGGCTATTGCGTTAATTTTGATATTTCTATACCACCCACCTACCAATAGCAACAAGACCCCATCATATACCAATATCCTACAAACACCCACAACACATCTTGCATAACCAACCTAATCTGCTGATCAAAGGCTGGGCTGTGACGGAAGAAAACTCTTGAAATAGAACATTGTAAAAACTCACCCATCCCAAACACTTGCCCACAGCTCACCCTGCCAATCAACCCCCACTACCTATTCTCTTCCATATGCCTATGCCCCTTTTATTCTCTCTACCATTTCTCCTATTCTTCCTCTCCACAATATGGTTTACTTTTTATTATTTATTTATTTTTTAATTTCAGAAAAAAATTGCACCTTGTAAGGCATTACCTGTAAAGCCTAAAACAGGTGGGGCATCCACCACCACCACCACCAACAGCAGCAGCAGCAGTATTAGGGCTCACATTTTGGCGGCACGAAAAAGAATGCTTGCCCTGAAAATTGAGAATGAAGAGGAATCCATTCAAGAATCAGAGGTAATGTAATAGATTAATGATCTTGGAAGTTGGTGGATAATTCTTATCATTGCTATTAGATTGTTTAGCCAATATTATCTGTACAAAGAACACCACATTACGTGGAGTGCAAAATGATTTTAGCGAGTAAAGTTGTAAGTATTTGTAATTACATCATTTAATGCACTAGCTGCCATAAGGTATTATAAACACACAATTGGTTTAGATTAGGAATTTATTAGATCTTTCTTTTAATGGGGTTGAAATACTTTATTTAGATTACATTACCAGTGTTTACATAGTTTTATTTCTGCATGGTAGCTTGAACTGGGAACAAGCAGCTGTGCTGAAAGTAAAATGTGAATGAACAGCTTCATTTCAAAATTGTTTTAAATCAGTTTGAAGCCTTTTTTTTTTTATACATTTTAAATGAATACAGGTATGTGTAACTTTGTAGATAACTTATGGTATTGTAATATTTCCTTTTTCTTTAAACAGGTTTTTTAGTATTGCATGTGCCTCATTATATTTAATTTATGCAAACACATTTTTACTGTTATTAAAATTTTGAAATGTTGCCCCATTGCAGATTTTTTCTTGCAGTATCTTGAGCTTTATTATATTGAATTAAAATAATGTATGTATGATAAAAAAAACATTAAGGTTAATTTTACTAGGTAATGTAGTTCACTTGGTTAAAAAGCCCTGTTTGATAAAACGAATGGTTCACCACAAGCATAGGTTTGCATTTGGCAAGGGACTCTCACTAATCCTGACAGGTTTCCTGTTTGTTACAAGTGTACAAAGGATAACTGTGCTCAAATGAATCTCAATACTTTGGACTACAGCGGTACATCCATTTACGAATTTAATCCGTTCTCGAAGACAGGTCGTAACCGAAACAAATTTTTCAATGAGTAATAATGTAAATTGAATTAATCCATTTCATACTCCCAAAAATATTAGCTTCAAAATACATTTCATACATAATACACATTTTTTGTACTATAGTATGTACAAGTTATAGCTTACCTTTATTGATGTTATGGAAGACGGTGAGGAAACTTGGGGGGGGGGGGGGGGGAGAGGTGTTACTGTTTGGAAGGGGAGTCCCCTTCCATTATAACATGGGTAGTGATGACCTCCCTCTCCTACATTTTGCCTGCATACCACTAGGATCTGGTTGTGGCTCACTGCTTGTTTGGCTTACTAAGAATCTGTCTTGAGACTTGTTTTTCCTAACGTTTTAACACTTCAGTGAGTGAGCCATCATTTATTCCCTAGGAATAATCTCTTGTTTTTCCTTTATGGTCATCCTCACGTGTTTTCTTAGGTTGAACCTTACCACTAACTTTCTTGAGGACCCATGGCATGATATATAATAATTACTTAAATGTTAAAAAAAAAGGGGGGGGGCACAAAAACAATGAAATTCTTTACAAAGAAATCATGCGCAATTGTCACGAAGGACGGACAGTCCGGTAAACTAAAGCGGGGTTGACTGTGCCATCAGGAACCACGCTCTCCGTCAACTCATACATGTGTCAACAAAGTCACAATTCGAGGCAAAGGTCATGAGTCGAGTCAAATTTTCTGATGAAATTGGGGTCGTAACTCAAAAAAATTCTAAGTAGGGGAATTCGTAAGTCTAAGTTCCACTGTAAATAGATTAAAGTATTGGTGGACCAAAATATGTCTGCTCCATTGTCATGGTATAGTTTCAACTTTTTTTTTCTACTTCTAGCATTAAATGTTAAAAAAAAAATTGCATTTGTCCTGCAATGTTTAATTGACTTGAAATATATATTATAAATTGTGTAATAGTTTTGTCCGTGAGCCATTCATAACAGTGAATCTCGGTCATGTGCTTTTCCTTCTACCGTATCTTGTTGGTGTGACCTATTGTTACTCAAGTTTTTTTTTTTTTATCTATAATGTTTCATAGTAAGAAAAATGTTGACCAGCAGGAGTAATCAGGTTAAACAAGGCAAGAAGAGAGGGTAGATACTGTACATGCAAGCCATAAGGATGAGTGTGCCCCATTAACTTAGGAAATGTACAAAAAAAAAAAAAACTAGAGAAAGTAGAAGCCAACTTCATCTACAGTTTAAAAAACAGATAAGATAGACATGTACTGTAGATCCAGGAGTCGTTATGCGGGCAGTTCCCCAATTATGAAATTTACTTTACAAGACTATTTGTAAAGCATTTGTTCGGAATGCGGATCAAGATTTTCCATAAGTGCAGTGCTATAAGTGGGGAATGCATTCCCAAGCCACCAAAAATCCACACCATACCAATATTTTTGGGAGATGTAAGAAAACCACTGCATTATTTACTTTAACCATTACACTACACAATGTGCCTTGAGGCGCTCGATCAGTGGTGCACAAGGTGCCTCGGAGCACTCGTAGCATTTAAAACTCTTGCAGCTTCACAGGGTTCACATCAGCTTCCTCAGGACTCTCATAAACAGACACTTTTTTTTTTTTTTTTTTTTTTTTATTGGGGGGCAACATTCCTGGGTGTGAGAGCCTCAGTACCGAGTAAGCAACTAAGGATGGCGCATGCAGCATGAACCAACAGCACTGCTGTTTAGCTTAACAGCATTGCCTAAAAACGTGAAAATACATGTTACTGGTATTATTTAGCCATGATAGTATTACAGAAGAGCCTGACTGTGATAAGGAGTGTACAATGTTCAGATATCAGTGAATCAATGCTGTTCAAGAAGTGTGCTAGCCACAGCACACTGCCATTATTTCGTCCAGCTTGGAATCTTGAAACAATTTCTCATGTTCCTTTACAAAAAAAAATTGTGGAAAATTATTCATTTACAGGATTTAGGGACCAGGGTTCTGATATAGGAATGTGGTGAGAACTAGCAGTGTGCATAGTATGGTAGGTGGAGTAATCTTTGTGAGGGAGGGAGGTAGTGTCGTCTGGTAGCTGCTGTGTGACTTGTCATGCAGTTTTTTTTTTTTTTTTTCATAATGTTGTTTGACACTATACCAGCTTAGTTGTTCAGTTATGGTGAATAAAACATGTAGATACTTATATATAATGTGTGTGTGTGTGTATTGGTTAATAAAACCACGTACAGTATTGTGGGAGTAATGTTGGCGAGTTAGGTGTTGAAGGAGTGAGGGATTGTGGCAGCCCACTCTTGTTTTTGGGCTCATCATACCAACTTAGTGCTTTATGGTGAACACACATGTAGATAGGTATATACAATATGTGTATATAGTGTAATAACAGCAAAAACACTGTAGAATATAATACAGTATGTCACATGAGTCCCGTAATTTTGAGTATAGCGATGTTCCACACATTGAACTATATAAATCCCGCAAATTACACACTTTTGGATAATATTACAGCAAGAACCAGAGAAGAAATGAATGGAATGTCAAATTGTGAAACTTTATATTCCCGGCATCTACCACCCCCACTTGGTCGAGTGACCTTGAGCACTCCATCGCTCGGTGCCCATTACTGTATTTGCTCAACTTCCCAGCTCCATCATTGCTAAAGTATCACATGAAATTTTTTTTTTTTAGTTTCCCGTGATCAGACTGCATTTTACAATATAAGAGAAAGCAAATTTTTGGAAAGAATTTATTTTTGGCACACCATGGGTTTTGTCATATTTTAATGCAGAGCAGTGCAGTGGTTAAATGGAGTTATGCTGCTTGTCAAAGTTAGCGGTTTAGAGTGAAGTGGTATAATTGCATGAATAAATGAAAATACATGTACACTGCAGGTTATCCACCATTTTGTAATTTGCCTCATGAGTAAACGATTCCCTACCTTCCTGTTTCCAGCCCCACCCCACCAACAGAGTAAACATGATCAAATCATATGAGTGTGGGTCATTGAGGACCTGAAGCCACTGGGTATTGGGAGTGCATCTCGCACTCTCAGCCACCCACTCATGCAAACCAACACTTCTACATCACCACCACCCGTACAATACTGTGCCACCATGTGGCTGCCGCACATGTGTGCACTTTGTGCATTGTACCAATAAGGGTTTTGTCTGATAAGTACCTACTTGCTAACCAATATACTACTGTGATAATTCAAAGAGGCGCTCCAGTGAGTTAGAATGGTTTTATGGATGAAAGGGGGACCTGGGAGTGTTTGTATGGACAAATGTTCGTAAAGTTGGGAACTCGCTGTATTCAAAAGCTAGAAAGGCTGGGTTCAGTTTGCTATTGGTGCTTGCAGGATTAATGTACGGACAAGTGCTGTACCCTTGCTAGCCCCAATCCCACCACCACACACAGGGAATGGTACCAGTAAGAAACCCCAGAGCATAGGTTTGAATGCGCCTCATGGTTTCTATTGATTTTCTCATTGATAAGTCATGTTAATGTAATTTCTTTGTGCATTGTACAGATACATATGTTTTGTCTAATATGTACCTACTTGCTAACCAATATACCACTGTGATACCAATACTTATTAATATTTGTTAGATGTTAGAACTTGACAAAAATGCTTCTTATGATCTTAAAAAGATATGTATAAATGTTATACACTTGATAAATTTTACTTGCAGTACATTTAAAGTGCATTGTTTGTGGTACATTATATTTTATATATTCGTAAGCAACAGTGTGTCCTATCATTTGAAGTAAGGAGCTGCCCCCAAAAATTGATGAATAGCATAAATAGGGGTTCATCCCAATTAAATTCAGGTTTTGTATAACAACATTGTGGAAGGTTAAAAAAAATTATACAGTAAGGGTTAGGTTACTGTAGCATAGTATATGCTGGTGTTGATTTATAGTAAAAAAAATGTAGCATATACCATGTAGTGAAATATTTTCCTGGTACCATATTAAATCTAATTTTTCCCAGGGCTCTGATCTCAACAAGGGTTCCTCTGCCATTGAAAATGGAAACAAATTTACAAATGGATGTAATACATCAGATGGTAAGTTATGTTCTTTTTGCCAGTTTGCTGTGTGGTGCCGTTACCCCCGTTTACATGCTCTTCTGGCATCAGTGCTGGTATTACATCTATTTGAGTCATTCTTATTCTGATGCCTGTATTGCCTTGTGTAGTAGCTTCTTCCTGATCTCCTCTCCCCACTTTTCATCATTACCTTACATTTGTTGCCATTGAAATCTACCAGCCATTTATCTACCTTTTTCTGTAATCTGCCAAGGACTTCCTACAGTGCACTAGTCTTCTGTAGTCTGCTCTTGCATTTATTTTGCATTCTTTGCGAATGTTAACATGTACTAGCTAACCCTCTTCTAAATGTAAGTACAGTAGTGTACATTGTACTTGTGCATAAAAATAATACAGTAATTATCATAAATGTGTATATATATTTGTATTACAGCATACAGTGCAACTCTACTCGAAAGATTTTAATTTTATGAATTCCCTGGTGGATCTAAATGGATTTCATTTTATTGAGAACTGTACATGGTATTAAATAAAAGCTACATCAGGAATGTAGAATAAAAATCAAATTAATCTTTTCCATATAATTTTGGTATCAATGTGCAGAGATGTTTCTATCTTAATTAAATCTAAATATCAGTAGCCAAATTTGCATAACAAAGTTGTTACTGTGTGTAATCAGTCAAAAATTAGTTGTAATTTTTCCTACTACATCAATGGGGTCCAGTGCAAATTAATCAATTGAAGTAGAGTTGCATTGTGCAACTTTGTTTTAATTCTGTTCTGGACAAATGGGAAAAGACAAGTCAAACAAAAGTAGTTCAATTATTAATTACATTAAAGATTAACAGGAAAATTGTATTAATTTGGATTACATTGTCATCTACCTTTATTTGGGCACCAGGGATATTTTGTTTTATTTTTGTATCAATACCAAAAGGTTAAATAATAGCTAGTTGGTAGTTGAAATAATAATAGTCACTTTGTTTATAAATTACTTGCTCGTTACTTACAAACATGGTATGGTGGTTTATATATACAGTAGTTCATTTTGGGAATGAAAAATGCCAAATTTGTGATTCCATTCACTTTCCCTCTCCCACCTCCTCCTTCCTCTCCCACTTCCTCCTTCCTCTCCCACCTCCTCTCCCACTTCCTCCTTCCTCTCCCACCTCCTCTCCCACTTCCTCCTTCCTCTCCCACTTCCTCCTTCCTCTCCCACCTCCTCTCCCACTTCCTCCTTCCTCTCCCACCTCCTCTCCCACTTCCTCCTTCCTCTCCCACCACCTCTCCCACTTCCTCCTTCCTCTCCCACCACCTCTCCCACCTCCTCTCCCACTTCCTCCTTCCTCTCCCACCTCCTCTCCCACTTCCTCCTTCCTCTCCCACCTCCTCTCCCACTTCCTCCTTCCTCTCCCACCTCCTCTCCCACTTCCTCCTTCCTCTCCCACCTCCTCTCCCACTTCCTCCTTCCTCTCCCACCTCCTCTCCCACTTCCTCCTTCCTCTCCCACCTCCTCTCCCACTTCCTCCTTCCTCTCCCACCTCCTCTCCCACTTCCTCCTTCCTCTCCCACCTCCTCTCCCACTTCCTCCTTCCTCTCCCACCTCCTCTCCCACTTCCTCCTTCCTCTCCCACCTCCTCTCCCACTTCCTCCTCCTCTCCCACCTCCTCTCCCACTTCCTCCTTCCTCTCCCACCTCCTCTCCCACTTCCTCCTTCCTCTCCCACCTCCTCTCCCACTTCCTCCTTCCTCTCCCACCTCCTCTCCCACTTCCTCCTTCCTCTCCCACCTCCTCTCCCACTTCCTCCTTCCTCTCCCACCTCCTCTCCCACTTCCTCCTTCCTCTCCCACCTCCTCTCCCACTTCCTCCTTCCTCTCCCACCTCCTCTCCCACTTCCTCCTTCCTCTCCCACCTCCTCTCCCACTTCCTCCTTCCTCTCCCACCTCCTCTCCCACTTCCTCCTTCCTCTCCCACCTCCTCTCCCACTTCCTCCTTCCTCTCCCACCTCCTCTCCCACTTCCTCCTTCCTCTCCCACCTCCTCTCCCACTTCCTCCTTCCTCTCCCACCACCTCTCCCACTTCCTCCTTCCTCTCCCACCACCTCTCCCACTTCCTCCTTCCACTCCCACCACCTCTCCCACTTCCTCCTTCCTCTCCCACCACCTCTCCCACTTCCTCCTTCCTCTCCCACCACCTCTCCCACTTCCTCCTTCCTCTCCCACCACCTCTCCCACTTCCTCCTTCCTCTCCCACCACCTCTCCCTTCCTCCTCCTTCCTCTCCCACCACCTCTCCCACTTCCTCCTTCCTCTCCCACCACCTCTCCCCCACTTCCTCCTTCCTCTCCCACCACCTCTCCCCACTTCCTCCTTCCTCTCCCACCTCCTCCTTCCTTCCTCCTCCTTCCTCTCCCACCTCCTCCTTCCTTCCTCCTCCTTCCTCTCCTCCTCCCACCACCACCTCCTCCTCCTCCTCCTCCTCCCACCACCACCACCTCCTTCCTCCTCCTCCTTCCTCTCCTCCTCCCACCACCTCCTTCCTCCTCCTCCTTCCTCTCCTCCCACCACCACCACCACCTCCTTCCTCCTCCTCCTTCCTCTCCTCCTCCCACCACCTCCTCCTTCCTCCTCCTCCTTCCTCTCCTCCCACCACCACCTCCTCCTCCTCCTTCCTCTCCTCCCCCACCACCACCTCCTCCTCCCTCCTCCTCCTTCCTCTCCTCCCACCACCACCTCCTCCTTCCTCCTCCTCCTCCTTCCTCTCCTCCCACCACCACCTCCTCCTTCCTCCTCCTCCCACCACCACCTCCTCCTTCCTCCTCCTCCTATCCTCTCCTCACCACCACCACCACCACCTCCTCCTTCCTCCTCCTCCTTCCTCTCCTCCCACCACCACCACCTCCTCCTCCTTCCTCTCCTCCCACCACCACCACCACCACCACCTCCTCCTTCCTCTCCTCCCCCACCACCACCACCACCACCTCCTCCTTCCTCTCCTCCCACCACCACCACCACCACCTCCTCCTTCCTCTCCTCCCACCACCACCACCACCTCCTCCTTCCTCCTCCTCCTTCCTCCTCCTTCCTCTCCTCCCACCACCACCACCACCTCCTCCTTCCTCCTCCTCCTTCCTCCTCCTTCCTCTCCTCCCACCACCACCACCACCTCCTCCTTCCTCCTCCTCCTTCCTCCTCCTTCCTCTCCTCCCACCACCACCACCACCTCCTCCTTCCTCCTCCTCCTTCCTCCTCCTTCCTCTCCTCCCACCACCACCACCACCTCCTCCTCCTCCTCCTCCTTCCTCCTCCTTCCTCTCCTCCCACCACCACCACCACCTCCTCCTTCCTCCTCCTCCTTCCTCCTCCTTCCTCTCCTCCCACCACCACCACCACCTCCTCCTTCCTCCTCCTCCTCCTCCTCCTCCTTCCTCTCCTCCCACCACCACCACCACCTCCTCCTTCCTCCTCCTCCTTCCTCCTCCTTCCTCTCCTCCCACCACCACCACCACCTCCTCCTTCCTCCTCCTCCTTCCTCCTCCTTCCTCTCCTCCCACCACCACCACCACCTCCTCCTTCCTCCTCCTCCTTCCTCCTCCTTCCTCTCCTCCCACCACCACCACCACCTCCTCCTTCCTCCTCCTCCTTCCTCCTCCTTCCTCCTCCTCCCACCACCACCACCACCTCCTCCTTCCTCCTCCTCCTTCCTCCTCCTTCCTCTCCTCCCCACCACCACCACCACCTCCTCTCCTTCCTCCTCCTCCTTCCTCCTCCTTCCTCTCCTCCCACCACCACCTCCCCTCCTCCTCCTTCCTCCTCCTCCTTCCTCCTCCTTCCTCTCCTCCCACCACCACCACCACCTCCTCCTTCCTCCTCCTCCTTCCTCCTCCTTCCTCTCCTCCCACCACCACCACCACCTCCTCCTCCTCCTCCTCCTCCTTCCTCCTCCTTCCTCTCCTCCCACCACCACCACCACCTCCTCCTTCCTCCTCCTCCTTCCTCCTCCTTCCTCTCCTCCCACCACCACCACCACCTCCTCCTTCCTCCTCCTCCTTCCTCTCCTCCCACCACCACCACCTCCTTCCTCTCCTCCCACCACCACCACCTCCTTCCTCTCCTCCCACCACCACCACCTCCTTCCCTCCTCTCCTCCCACCACCACCACCACCTCCTCCTTCCTCCTCCTCCTTCCCTCTCCTCCCCACCACCACCACCACCTCCTCCTCCTTCCTCCTCCTCCTTCCTCTCCTCCCACCACCACCACCTCCTTCCTCTCCTCCCACCACCTCCTCCTTCCTCCTCCTCCTCCTTCCTCTCCTCCCACCACCACCACCACCTCCTCCTTCCTCCTCCTCCTTCCTCTCCTCCCACCACCACCACCTCCTTCCTCTCCTCCCACCACCTCCTCCTCCTTCCTCTCCTCCCACCACCACCACCACCTCCTCCTTCCTCCTCCTCCTTCCTCTCCTCCCACCACCACCACCACCTCCTCCTTCCTCCTCCTCCTTCCTCTCCTCCCACCACCACCACCACCTCCTCCTTCCTCCTCCTCCTTCCTCTCACACCTCGTGCCCCACTTCATCTAATGCCTATCTTCCTTAGATTCCTTACACCTCTCTATCTCTTGCTTTCCCTGAAGAATGGCTGTTGGTACCTATGTGGAGTTAAACTTAGACAAAGGGTCACAATAATTTGCTATAGTAGAAATCTTAAATTTGGTGTATAATCTTTGGAATTTTTACAGTTCAACCATTTTCTATTAGAAATAGTTTTAGAAAGAAAACTGTAGATGGGTTTGTGTACTATTATTTCTACAGATGAGACAAAAAATAAGAACCAGCCACAAAATCCAGAAACAGCAGTGTTTGATGCTGGTTTCTTCAAGGTCGAGACTCCAACCAAGACAAATACTGTTGAGAAAAGGTTTACTCCAGGTAGTGTAATATTGTAAATCTTTTCTGTAAATTCTTTATAGCTCCACATGACATAATAAATATTTGTGACGAGGTCAAACTTGCTGAACGTTTTCTGTCTACTAAAATTGCTACCCATCTCTGCAGGATTTAAATTATCATTATGTTGGGATAACTGTGCCATTAGAGGTTAAATACTTTATTGTAGCATAAAATATGGATTGTAAAGTGTAATGAAATGATTTGTATACATGCTGTCCCAGAAATAAGTGACAAATGTTGATTCCTGTAGGTCTTTCATGAAACTTTGATGTAGGATTCTTGTGAGCTCTGGGTCTGCCCGTGTGCTTCTTGAGATATGGGCACCATACATCTGCTGCATATTACAATTTTAGTTTCACGAAACTCGACAATTTCTTGAATATTTCAACATCCATGTATCAGTCGACTTTGAAGTTAGAAAGCTCATTTTCGCTTTCCATTGGAGTTGGAAAGCGCATGCTCCTGGGATTTTCATTGACAGAGCAGCCATTTATCCCACTTTGCTCTTACACTGGGAGATGTTATCAGGAGGGTCATTACCATGGTATTGCCGCCTCTGGTTCTATCCAGCCTCTCGTGGTAGAGAGAAGCGCCTCCACTTTGAGGAGCATCCTTCATCTATCGGGAGTCAGTACCCATGAATGGTATAAAGTCAGTCTAGATTCATGCCCTTGGACTGCCTGTATGAAAGTTAGCATACTAATGTTCCTGTCTGTTCAATGTTTAGAGATTGGTTGGAGTTCTGGATTGGTCACACCACTTACAGTATGACAATTGACTTATTTTGGCTATCATCATTACATGCTTGACATTGTGAAATGTTTTGGCTTTGTCAATAAGCCAAAAAAAAAACTCAAGGCTTTTCTTGGTTTTGGGAGATAGAAAGCATCCTGGGCCAGTTCTAAACCACTTTGCACGGTGCATCATCTGGGCTGAATGTACCGAACAGTTTCTCTACTCATCACTGGCTCTGGTTACTGTTTACAAGGCTTCTGACACTGATGGATTTCTTGCATTTGAAACTTCCTCTAAAGGCTTTTCAAGCACTGGTTTCCTTTAAAGCCGGCGATGGGAAACGGCTCTGGCGAGGTTGCGTATTGCCCATACTCGCTTAATTCATGGTCACTTGGATCGCCGCCCTGCTCCTTATTGTCCTAATTGCATTGTCCCTCTTTCGGTCATGCATGTCCTTGTGAATGTCCTGACTTCCGGGAGGAGCATGTGTCTTGCTTTCCGACCGTCCCTCGTGGTCGCTTGTCCTTCGATAGTATTCTTGGTGACTTGGATACTTTTGATATTGTTCGCCTTATGCGTTTCTGTTCTCATATTGGCAACCTAGGTGATATTTAGTGCCCCTCTGATTATCCCGCACATTTGATGGTGCTACATAGCCTTCCCGGTTTGGTGCCTTCCTTTGATAATTACTTACATTTTAATTCAAACTGAATAAGAGTTAATAAAATTAGTTCAATATTGTATGTTAACCATGAATCAGAATCTCTTAAAAAGCAAAGTGAAGTTTCCCATGAAGAATGGCTTGAAAATGATCCTTTAATTATTAAATTTTAAAAAATAATGAATTTATATTTTCATTACAGTAGTGTAGAGCACTGATGATACTAGAAACACTGAACTTTGGGTAGGTAAAATCTTTTAATTCCTCTTTTTTTTTTTTTTTAATAGGGAAACCAGATCAAAAAGTGCTGGCTTCAACTGTCCTGAGGGAGCGAATGCATGACTCTCCTCTCGTCCATAAAGACTACTCTCCCTGCATTCGTGTTACAAGATCAATGAAGGCAAAGTCTGTACGTTCCAGGAAGCTAAATCTCTAATTTGTTTCCCCTTCTTGATTACTTGTATGATTAGCAATATTTTCAATGTTCAGAACTTTCATGAAAATGTGTATATATATATAATACACCGTTATATACAATAATGAGAACCTTGTATTACTTGTATACTTAATGCTCATAGTTGAAAGTGTTACAATTATTTTTCCTGGCTACCAGGATGAAATTAAAGCAAATACACCACTGTGAATATGTTTTGACCAGATATATTTTCATGGTGAGAACTTAAGTTTTGAGTTTAATGTTGCAGTGTTGCATATTAGTAGCATACAGATGGCAGGTTCGGTGGGAGTGTTGTTTCTCATGTGCAATGTCAGGTGTCATTACCTCAAGAAAATCTTTAAAATATGCTGTTGTAAGGAAAAAAAAAAGGGAATTAATTTTCTTTTAAATTAAGAAAATGGGATTCTCATATCTTCATTACTAGATGATACTTTATATAATAATTATACCAAGCATCAAAGCTAAGCTTGTGTAAAAATAATTTTATTATGTCATTTATCAATTTAAGTTTTCAACAGTATTTTCAAGTAGAATTTTTATTATTGTTGATGCCTTTTATTTCACTGTTTTCATTTCCAGACAAAAATTTTCCTTTTATAAATAAATAGTTTTGTTTGGAAATAAAATGCATACACTGAGGTTGATAACTACTTACTTGATGTCTTATCAGTGCAAAATTGTATTATTTTCTTTCATAGATATTATAACTTCCAGAAAACTTTGCTTATTAATCAGTGAAAGTGTGTGTGATCTACATATAGAGCATTCTTAATTTGTAGAGTAATGCATTGGAAAATGTGATCTTTTAAATGCATAAATGTTGTACTTCTACCTCTACACTTGTAATATAGTTCTCCCCTTCGTCTAGGAAAGTAATGTCTACTATATTCTAAACATTTTACAAATTTGTACACACTGCCACATATTCTACCCTTTAAAATAGTTTTAAGATTTTTACAAGTATTTAGATTACTGTGATTTTTTATATACTTTACCAAAGGATTTGTTTTTAATTTGATTAGTACAATGAGAATTTTACACTTGTGAAGAATTTTAATTTTCTGCCAAGAGGTTCCTAGCTGTCACCACAATGTTGTACAGTATTGGCATACCAAATAGCAAGCAGAATGAGCTATCAGTAAACTAGACTAGAAGTCAATCTAGTACATACTGTACATTTATACTCTTAAAATATTCAACTGAGTACTAAAGAGTATTGATGTTGAGAGAGAGATCTGCCTCTTACATTACATGATGTACACTGCACAATTGTTAATCACACAGTTTTAAGGCAACATATGTATGTTGAATAACTAACGTAAATTTTTCAATATAGATGTTGTAAAGGGCTTATATTTTGTTTATGCTGGTTTTAACTAATCTATGTATAGCATCTAAAGAATTTTCAGTATTAGATACCAGTGTTTATAACTAAATGTGTTTAAGAATTCATTCAAACAGCTAATGCATATTTTTCTTTAATGAACACTGGTAAATACGTGTAAATATTTTGTTGCATATCAATCCTAGTCTCAATATACTCAGTTTTTATATAAAATAATAAAGGGCAGTTTTGGTAAGAAGGATCTTTTAATGTGCTTCCTTTCACACATGGGACAAATTATATATTAAAGATAAATTAGTGGTGTATTTATGATAACAAGGAGTGATGTTGCAGGTAAAGATTTGTAAGGGTAAAATTGTCTTGCTGTTGCAATCTACTTTTAAGGAACCTTTTAGAATGCAATCTGAGACTTCATGCAACTGGTAGAAAAAAAGTTTAAATGGTTATATATAGAACAAAATATTAAAGTAAAACACTGAGGTATAGTTTTAATTTCTTCCTATTCATTGTAGTGTATAAATTTAAAAAATCAATGAAATAACCAATTTATTAAGTAATTTCTTGGAGCACAATTTTCTTAATTTTAAGACCCTAAATTCAGCTATTGCTAGATATTTTTTGGGGTATCCTTTTCAATTGAAGTACTTTTCAAATGGGCTTTTAAGAGATGCATAGCCGCACTGTTCATAAGTTCTGTTGATCATGTCAGGTATGCATTGGATATTGCTGTTTTTGTGCTTGCAAATATTACTTGTGTTGCAGAAGGCTGAGTTTGTCAGTGTGTAATAGCATTTGGGATGGTCTCAAACATAGATGTCTTGGTTTTGCTTCTTTATAATATGCACATGTGCATTCATTCTCTGGCTTACATACACCCCTCCCCGACAGATTCAAGCTAAGGAAACAAAGGTGCCAAAAAAATATTATAAGGTTTTGTTTTGCAGAGTGGTAGATGGTTGGAACAAGTTAGGTGGTGGAGGCCAAAACCATTAGTAGTTTCAAAGCGTTGTACAACAGAGTACTGAGAAGATGGGACACCACGAGCGTAGCTCTCGTCCTGTAACTACTTGGGTAATTTAACACTCGATCAACCCCCCACCCCCCTCCTCCTTTCTCGCTCTCTCTCATACATACACATGAAACGAGTAGAGAGAGATCTAGGAGTTGATATCACACCAAACCTGTTTCCTGAAGCCCACATAGTTACATCTGCCGAGCCCATACCTTGTCAAGCACAAGACGGAGCTGGAAAAAGTTGAGAGGTATGCCACTAGACTAGTCCCAGAACTAAGAGGTATGAGTTACGAGGAAAGACTGCAGGTAATGCACCTTACGACACGAAGACAGAAGAGTAAGGAGAAGCATGATCACTACCTACAAAATCCTCAAGGGAATTGACGGAGTAGACGAAGATAAACTATTCAACACTAGTGGTACCCTAACAAGGGGACATAGGTGGAAATTGAGTAACCAAATGAGCCACAAGGATGTTAGAAAGAACTTTTTCAGTGTCAAGAGCAGTTAACAGGTGGAATGCATTAGGCAGTGATGTGGTGGAGACTGACTCCATACACAGTTTCAAATGTAGATATGATAGAGCCCAGTAGGCTCAGGAATATGTACATCAGTTGACAGTTGAGAGGAGGGACAAAAGAGCCAAAGCTTAACCCCCCACTAGCAGAAATAGGTGAGTACACACACACACTAGATAGTGTGTGTGTTTTCTAGGTAGAAAATTGTCACCTGAGGACCACATAAAGAACGTTGTGTGAAGAGACTATGCCACGCTTTCTAACTTACAGTTAGAAAGCGTGGCAAAGGCGAAATACTAAAGAAATTGTTCAAGACTTTTGTTAGGCCAAAGCTAGAAATATGCAGTGGTTGTATGGTGCCCATATCTTAAGAAGCACATCAACAAATTTGAGAAGGTGCAAAGACACCTTAGTAGCATACTAAGTGGCTCCCAGAACTGAAGGGCAAGAGCTACAAGGAGAGGTTAGAGGCATTAAATATGCAAAAACTAGAAGATAGAAGAAAAAGGAGATATGATCACTATGTACAAAATAGTAAGAGGAATTGATAAGGAAGATTTCCTGAGACCTGGAACTAAAAGTGATGTGGTGATAATGGGTTCTATTACATCTGTCCAGGGAGACTTTCAGAGCAGGATTTGCGTTTAAGAACAGGGTTTTGTAAATGTAATTGACACAAGAGAATTTATGGAGTGAGATTGTTTAGCATGTTTAGGGAGTTAAACAAGGGGGCTGAGTGTTGTCTGAAAGCAGAATTTGTTATTATTCTGATAGCAGATTTTTGCTGGGTGATGATGGACTTGAAGTGGTTTGCAGTGGTTGAACCCCATGCACATATACCATAATTAAGATAGGGATAGATTAGTGCATAATATAGAGAGATGAGAGCAGAGTTAGGTACATGATATCTGATTTTGGAGAGTATACCAACTGTTTTAGAGATTTTCTTAGTTATGTTGTAATAACTCGCATTGTAATTTTCTGAGGTTGGAAGAAAACGTGCTCAGATTGGGGACTTGTTTATTTTATAATGGTAAATAATAAATTAATATATAATAAATTAATATATAATAAATTAATTTATTATATAAATTAATAAATAATAAAATTATTATTATATAATAAATAATAATAATAACAAATAGTATAATGATAAGCAATTATTTTTAATGAATCAAATAGCTAATTAGGATGAATGATAAATAATTATTGACTAGTGCATAACAATAAAGTATTAAGGAATAATTATAATGAATAATCCTTAATGATAAAGGAGAGATCAATTACAATTAATAACTACATCCATAGGTAGTAAATGAAAGTTGCATTAATTAGACTAATTACAATTCATGGGAATATTTCTTAGCTATCTGCAGGCTTATCACTTTGGGGGTTCCGGCGGAGCACCCCCAATCCCGCGAGGGCCAGCGGGAGGAGGATTAAGGAGAAGGGGTTCCTTACTCTTACTAGCATGTAGACTGGGCAAAGGATTAGCTGCGGACAGCCGGACACTTGGGGAATGGCGCTGCACCCCCACCGCAGGCCCGCTGGCCGGACCCCCCCCCCCCCCCCGAAGGGCGAGGCCCGCTGGTCGCAAGGAGGCCTCAGAGTGGCAGTGCAACAACGTCCCGGACGTAGTCAGCTGGGTGTTCCAGCTGGTTGCTGGACCCGCCGTTAACTCCGATGGCTAGCCCGTCAAGAGAGCCGAGTGGCCCCTGTCAATTCTAAAGGTAAGAGGGCGTGGTCGGCTGAAGGCGAGCCTAGCTCTGCGAGGGCGCCGCGAATTAATCGCCCTGAAGAAGTGTTGCCTGTTCACTGGGCACGGGCCGGGTAGAACTTGCCGGGGGGCGCTCGTTGGGCTAGGGTACGCGTGCGTCCTGCACTGCGCTTGCAGGATCCGAAGAGTGTTGATTCCTGACCATGTAAGCGATACCTGGTCCAGTCGGAGCGTGCGTCGATTTTTTGTCGCGTAGATCACCTCCCCCGGGCCTTGGTCTCCATCCCTAATAATCCCTAATATAATTTTGGAGAGTATACCAACTGTTTTAGAGATTTTCTTAGTTACGTTCTAATAACTCGCATTGTAATATCTCGACCGCGCACCCCGCTACTGCCACTGAACTAACCGTGCAATCTACGCTCTTCTTATGGTAATAATGGATGCTCTACCGATCATGTAAGATGTTAACACTCGGGCCGTCATACGAAGACGTAAACCAGTAAACACAGAGAGAGAGAGAGAGGGGGGGGGAGGGAGGGAGGCAGGCAGGCAGGCAGGCAGGCAGGCAGGCAGGCAGGCAGGCAGGCAGGCAGGCAGGGAGGGAGGGAGGGAGGGAGGGAGGCAGGCAGGCAGGCAGGCAGGCAGGCAGGGAGGGAGGCAGGCAGGCAGGGAGGGAGGCAGGCAGGCAGGGAGGCAGGCAGGCAGGCAGAGCGAGGTAAGGGAGGGAGAGCGTGAGCGAGTGGGGGCGAGGGAGAGTGAGACACTAGTGAGGGAGTGAGAGACAGAAAGATAGAGATAATCATAGTCACAGCCTATCTATACAATACAATACAATACAATTTTATTTAGGTAAGGTACATACATACAATAAATATTTACAAGGATTGTTTGACTTATAGGTAGAGCTAGTACATACAATGCCTAAAGCCACTATTACGCAAAGCGTTTCGGGCATCATCTATCGTATGAATTACCGAGTAACGCTGCCACCACCCTGAATTACCGGACAGGGGACCGGAGTGAGGTTCGTAGGTCTTGCAGATGGAATAAACCTACCAAGACAGGTGTAGGGGACAATTGAACGGTACAAGGATCCTGGCCTGACACTCGAATAATCCTGACCACTTGGGAACTATAGTCTACACAAGAATAAGGCGGGACACACCCAATACTAACACCTCAACACAGGACGGACGGGGGAGGAGTACTGGATAAGTAAGGACACTAGGTCACTAGGGCAAAGGGGACGGTAGGCCCAATATCACTAAAACAAGGAACCATTAATACACATTTACTAACACTTGACAATATATGACTTTATTTGAAATAATTAAATAAGACACTCCCTAACTATATTCCCTACTAGAGGCCATGAGTATTGAATGAGGTGCTTTAATACAAGAGAGCCGTACTTACTCCTATGTTGTTCCACAGTTTTCCTGGAGAAGATGTTCCTTCCCCGGGTCCACACACACCGTCCTCCTGGGCTGTGCCCACTCTACTGTCTCTTCCATGATCTCCTGCTCCTCAGCTGAACATGAGGGTTTTGCATTTGATATTTAGGGGTTAATCCCTGAAGATTATCATGATGGCATCAACTCTGACCTCTTCGTGATTCGATGACCGTTGACCTGACTCTATGGCTAACTTGTACAGAGGTGTAACTTTTACATTGTCTGCCGCCGCCTGACTGGCGCCTGTGGTTTGTTCATCCGCCACGTGGCTTGTTCATGCTGTTATGATGTTCATGTTGTACTATGTACTATGTTGTACTCTTGTTACAATGTGTTGTATGTGGGTGCTGAAGTTGAGTCTCTTGTAAATAAATAGGCCAAAAAACTTTCCATCATTATTATTGCTAATGTTTACATTGTCTATCTGAAGCTGAATTACATTTGTAGATTTGCTTCTAAATAGGATGTAGTAGGTCTTTTCCATGTTAAGTGTTAGTTTGTTGGTTGACTTTTTTTAGTTCATTAATAACAACATTATTTAGTGTATGTGGGTTGGGATTAGAGTAGATGAGGGTAGTATCATCAGCAAACAAAATAGGTTTCAGAATGTTAGAGACATTAGGCAGATCATTGATGTATATAAGAAATAGGAGAGGTCCCAGGATGCTGCCCTGTGGCAGCATCTCTGAAATTATAATGTCAATCTCTAAAACTCTGAATTGTAATGTCAATACTGACTTTCAACGCTTCCTAGAAGGTTGTAACAGAACTCA